GCGTTGTGTATCCGTCCTTGTTGCTCGGTATAGCGCTCCTTGTCCAACAGTACTTGAGATACCTCCATGTATATTATATATTCCTGTTATATTCTCGCATTTCTAGTCCCACTCCGATAGATGACATTTATAGAACGGGATAGTAACGTCGTGTGACAAGAATAGATGTACTTTCCCATCTAATTTATCATGATATTCATGAAATATTCGATTTCCGAAATAAAACAGTATATTTTTGAAATTCGATGATAAAGTACAGATCTTAAACGATGTTCCTGTATAATTTTGGACACGAATCTCTGTTTAATTAATCAAATGTTAATAATTGTTTCAGCGAATTATCAATGATTTCGCAATATTTATGTATATCCGCGATTTTACATTAATGTTAAACTTTTACGAAATTAAAATGTATTCTATGGGATACTGCAAGACATTAATTAAATAATCTAATAAAAAATATTGCACAATTTTATATAAAGTACGAGTCAATAGATTCGTAATTTGTTAGTTTCAGCTATGATCGTGAGAAAGTAACTGGAACATAGCGAATGCAAATTATCAATTACTATTAGACAACACGGTACTGTGCGATAGAGAACATAAACTCGTATACTTATCCTATACGTTTTATACTTGGATATGATAAAAGATGGATCTTGTGCAACTGTCACACAGTTTCTACAGTTTAATGTCCATTTAATTGATTAATTATGTATTAGTTACTTGACAAATCAAACTCTTAATTGAGTCAAAGAATGAAAAGATGATTGTATAAAAATAAAACATAATGTCGTTTATTGATTACAAATGATCACGTAATACAGAATGCACGATGTTAGAGACAGTCCTTTAAATTGTAGCACAATTTTAATATAATATTATGGTATGAAATTTTCGAAATTCACAATATACATACCAATTAATGTATTGAAAAATATTTATCAATATGTACAACGCACATGATTTTCCCACATTTTTCAAGAGAAAAATAACGTTATATTTAACCTTTGCGTGATCCGCAAACGAGTACAAACTGGATTGACTATTTCACCCTAAATTTTTCCACATTCTCGTCATATCACGCACACTTATTAAACAATTATCGCAGTTGATAATATATATATATATATATTATATATATATATATATACACACAATAAAAATACATAGGTACATATTTCGTGCACGATATGATTTGAAAATTCTTTGATCGCTTTTCGTGGACACAATATTGGCCACCGTATTTATATTTTTGTTACAATTTTGACAGCGATAAATGCAAATGTTATTGAGATTCTTAAGTACAAAATTAACAGAGCGTTTTAACTTGCAGTGTTCCAGTAATCATCTAGTACAATTCAATTCATTCTACGCGTAAAAATAATTAAAAACTGTGGAACTGAACTTTTTTTCAAGAATTCCTTTTCAAAAAATGTATAAAGTTCAAACTTTGGTCAAGAATCAACCGGCAGGCTTGATAAATCTCTAAATTTATCAACTTTCTCGAAAACGAAGCGTTCTATGAAGATTTTATTCGACTTGTTTTATATTTTCAACTTGTTCTTTCAACCCGCTGTTAGTTGGCATCGATATTAATGGAACATCCTGCATATTGATACACGCATAAAAGAAATCATTCTTTCATTAATTGATATTTCAATCATGACCCGATCGACTCGTTCGGATTGTTGACAATAATACTTCACCGTAACTACTCACGTCATTTTTACAAGCTCTACTTTCATATTTCCATGTGTGTCAATGTTTAGGCAGTTTAGGCTTTTACTACAAATATCTAAGAAAATAGCTAAACCTCTCTTCTCTTTTGTTACTTCTGTACCTCTATTACATTAAAAATTTTGTCAGGCAATGTTAAGTCCGCTTTTGTATTTACAACAGGATATTTATAATACGGTATTGTTCATTACTTTCGTACTAGTACCTTTTAGGTTAATTAGAAACGCTCACGCTTTATATGATAAAACGCAATTGAACGCAATTGAATCACTAGTTGAGCTGATTTCTCTTTATAAATATACACACGGCTACGCGAAAAAATATTAGACTCTTATATATAACGTGTCTAATCTTGAAATTCGAAACGAAAAATTTCGCAAAATTTTCGTAATCTGCTCGACTTGGTACTTATGTATCGTTTGACAATTTAAATAAAGGTACTACAAGTGGAAGACCTTAGTTAAACTTATTAAAAATAATAAATGCAAAGATTCTGTGCAGTATTTATCTCATATCAATATAATCTAACGCCTCCTCCATAAGACAAAAGCAATTCATCGATAATATCTGTCTACTTCTCTATAGATAATAAATTTATAAACTATAAATGTTCGTATAGTTAATTAATCGACTATCATTAAATCGATCGTTCATTGGTTAATGTTTTTTATATGGTCCACTCAAGACTCGCTTTAATAAGTCAAATAATAACAGCTATCTTGTTACGTTCGCTATTAAATGGCTATCATTGCAATGGACAAAACTAATTAAATCACGTTGTTGACTCAATAAAAATAAACGAAAATATACAGTATATATCTTTTTTTTCCTTTGTTACTCTATGCTGAATAAATTTCAATGACGACAACACGATCATATTTAGAAAACTACTTTTTTTTTTTATTTATATAATTTGTACTTTTTCTAATTGATGAAAGATTGCAAAATATATAGAAAGCTTTATTACTTTATAAGTATCGCTCGATTGTTAAAAATATGCAAGTAACAGCAGTAAGCTGACAAGTCTCAGGAATTTATTTTAGGAATTAAATTTACGAGTCTATGAGTATCCTTACGTTAGAATAAAACCGATAATGCAAATTACATAACATGACTCGAGCTTTTTATCATGTTAAACATTATCGTGTCTTTTTTTCCTTTTTTTCTTTTTTAATGAGGTATCAATTATGTCAGCGATTCACTATACGAATGTCTATGTCTACAAATTATTTTTTGTACCAAACACATTTACGCATTGACCACAACGTCAAGAGCATACATGTGCATGCAGTTATGACATTAAAGCAAAAATAAAGTAATATTTTTTTTTAACCCTAGGACGTTTAAGGAAGGATCGACAAGTTTCTGAAAGACTCTAAATTATTTAATTTTTTCCAAAATAATTCCTTCCAAATAATTTCTTGGTTCTTGTTTTGGTTTCGTTTTTTTAATAGCAAATATCTAGATATTTTATATTATTATATTACGTAAATAAACAGTTTGAATAAATGAAATAATATTCATCGCTCTTTCTTTATATAGACATAAAATGACTCTCCTTTAGGTTGAGCTTCATCATTTAACACCTTAGGCGTCCTTGGATTAATACAAAATATAATTATACTTGAATAATATACGTTTCTTTTAAGCCTAATGTTATTGCTCTCTTATCCAATGCTTAAACATATATATTATCATACTCCTCTTGGCAGTTCGCAATTCTATCGAAATGTTAATAGTAAAAATGGAGGTATTGTCATTATTACTTGTTAAATGGCTGACAATTGCAGATAAACGATTGTTAAGCACTGATTTCCCATACTTAGTTGGCCAAATTTGTTCTTTTGCATGTAGAAGTATTACGTCAAAATTGAAAATAACCAACAGCTTGTCCAAATTAATCTTGCAGCATCAATGTTTCCGTGCATTGAATCGACGTTTAAATTTTGAAACGCTTGATGATCTAAGCGTGATGCCTGCTGTCAGTAGAACTCTGAATCTGAACTGTGTTGTGAATCACCGCTTCTACCATTTAAATATACTTCTGACGTTTGTTGAATTGACGGCGAATGTTGTGCAGCTTCCCAATTCTGACCTGTTGTAACGATTGACTCGTTAATTTGATTATGAGTAACCTTGGAAATGAAGAATTGTAGAAGATTAATATACGCACCATGTGCAGCAAGAATAGTGGCTAAACATCGTGCTACAGCTGGATTTGGAGCGCAAGCTAATGCAGGTGTGAGTCCCTCTGCATCGACAGCAACGACACTTGCACCCAATTGCAATAAACGTCGTGTTACCTTTGGAAAGTCAATTTCAATGACTGCTCGTATAACTTTAAAACAGTTACTTAAATACTATAAATTAATTCCTTACCGTTACAAGACCGTTTCTTGCTGCCAAATGTAATGGAGTTCTTTGTTGCTTATTGGTCATGTTAATAATGCTTTGCTGTTGCTGTGATGTATTTTCATTGTTAGTATTAAGCGAATTGATCCAATTTAATAATAATGAAGCAGCAGCGGAATGTCGTCTTTGACAAGCTAGGTGAAGAGCTGTGTTTTTGTTACAATCAACAGCACGCACATCGGCTTTCCACTCAAGCAATAACTCTATCAATTAAATTACATTGATATGAAGAAATACCAATAAGTATTAAACACTTACGCAAAATTGAATGAAACATACCAATTGCACTGCATTGGCCCGTAATAGCAGCACAAAGTAGAGGCGTTCGACCCGAATAATCCGGCGTTTCGAGTCCAGCTAATTCAGGTCCCACAGAACTCAAAATCAGTTTTGCGCATTCTACAGACCCTGAACTAGCTGCGACGTGCAACGGCAATCGACCACCTGGAATATCTCTTGGAGCAGCGACCGTCTTTCCCCCGAATTTATTTATTAATAATTCTAAACAGTGTGCTGACCCTTGATATACTGCACAATGAACCGCTGAAAATGGAGTACCTGTGCATAAAACAAAATGATTTAGATTCCAAAAATAGATTTTTTTAACGATTTTAACGGAAAGATACCTACCTTCTAAAGAATCAATTACATTTTGTTCCAAAAGATATTCCACGCAATTTGAATTTCCATTGTAGCAAGCCCAATGAAGAACTGTACAGCCTTGATCATCTTTTAAGGTAGCAGCAGTAGGATTAGCTTTGACAAGAGATGCTAATGCTTTTACTCTATGAAGAAAATTAAGTTTAAGTAAAAATAAACATTCTGATGAATTTTTTCATTATATGTAGAAGAAACCAACCTTCCACACGCGGCGGCTAAATGTAATGGCGTTTTACCATTTGCATCTTGTATTGCTACTTGCGCGCCATGTGCTAATAACAATTCTACTAGCTGATGGTCACGTTCTTTAATTACTGCTCGAAATAATGGTGTATGTTTATTTATATCTGCTAAATTACAATCAGCTTTGTATTTTAAAAGCAACATAACACATTCCGGATTACTGTTTGCCACTGCTAATGTTAAAGGAGTTCGTTGCTTAATGTCGCAGCAATTTATTACATTTGAATCGCCCGCATTTTCCAATAGAAGTTCTAAGCAATTAATATGTCCTGCTGCTGCTGCACAATGTACTGGAGTACGCCTTGTAATTGAATCCTGGACCCATACACAAGCTCCATAAAATACACATAAAAGCTGAACGCATTGGTGGTGACCTTTATAGGCAGCTAGATCTAATGGCGTTTTACCAGTATCTTCTTTAATATTAGTATTAGGAAATAATGGTAGTAGCAAGCTTAATATTTGAATGTGTCCATGATATGCCTACAAATGCAACTAATTATACTTTCAATTATTGAAAATGAATTTCCTTCTTTAGACCTACAGCTAGATGTAAGGGTGTTAGTGCAGGTAATGGAGGTTCCGATTTTCCTGTAGAACCGGACGATACAGTTAAATTTCCTGGTGGACAAGCTTCTAATAAAGCTTCTAAAGCTGGTTGATTTCCTCCAGCTACTGCGTAATGAATAGCAGTAAAACCTCGTTTATCACGTAAACGCGGATCTGCTCTGTGCTTTAATAAATATTGTACGCATCTAAATATAAAAATAATAAATAAATTAAATTTCTAAAGATAGAAATTTCTAAAGATATTTATTTCAAAATAAATTACATATAAACAACCGAACACTTACTGGGCACCAGAATCCATAGGATTTGATGCTGCAGCCAAATGCAAAGGAGTTGCACCGTCTACGTCTTGTGCATTAGAATCACTTCCAAATCCAACTAAAGTAAAAACACAAGGGTAATGACCTTGACTAGCAGCATGATGGAGTGCCAATCTGCTATCATTATCGGTTAATCGAAAATTAGCTCCACTGGATAACAACAAATCTAAACAGTCAACAGATCCTTTAAATGCTGCTAAATGTAATGGTGTTCTACCACCAATATCTCTTGAATCTATACGCCGGCTATCAACTTGTAATAATTTTCTACAAACCTATAAATATCATTAAAGAATTAACATTTAATTTAACAGGAAAAAATTAGAATACAGAATACGAATACTTTACTTCAATGTGGCCTGCCAAGCAACTAAGGTGCAATGCAGTACGCTGTTCAGCATTTCGCGCCGCTGGAGATGCACCATATTCCAATAAAGTTGTTGTTAAACATTCATGTCCAAACCTATATAAAATTGAGTTTGTAAATGAATATTGAAAAAATAGTGGGATAGAATAGAATTATCGTTGTAATTTACCAAGCAGCAACATGTAAAGCAGTATTTCCATTTTTATCTTTAGTATCTGGCAATGCTCCAACATCAAGTAAACTTTTTGATCGAGTAAATCTACCATGGATTGCAGTCATATGTAGAGGTGTACGTCCATCTTCCGACTGAACGTTTACTCTCAAGCCAGCTTTTAAAAGTACTTCTAAACAATGAACACCATGAGTGCTAGCAGCAGCAACGTGTAACGGCGTTTGTCCCCGATAATTTACGGCCTCTAACAAAAACATCATTTGTCACAACAAAATTATAAAGACATTTTTTCAACAAATTTTAGAATTATCTCACCAACGTTTGCAGTATTTGTAATTAATTCTGTAACTGCATCAGCATGACCATTTAAACACGCAATATGCAGAGGAGTGTTACCATATACATTTTTTGCTTCGATATCTGCACCAGATTTAATTAATGTATGCATACATTCTACATTGCCAGATGCTGCAGCTGCATGTAATGGAGTATATAAATCTCGATCCTTAACAATACAAAAATAAACGTAAATAATATTTTGCAATATAAATAAGAGTAAAAGATATTACAAAATTTATATTACTTTAACATCCACATCTGCTCCTTTCGCTATGAGTGTTCTCACAATTCCATCATGACCCATGTATGCTGCAAAATGTAAAGCTCTACGATCTTGCCTATCAGAAGCATTTATTACACAACCAATTTGAGCCAAATACTCTGTCATTTCTAAATGTCCATTGTAAGCTGCGTGATGCAGACTTGTCCTACCACCTCTGTAAATATTCATAATGTACATGATTAATTTATTTTCAAATAAATATTGAAATAACTATAGTCAAAACACAAACCTGTCTGCTACATTAATGTTCATTAAATGTGGAACTATTAATTCAACACATTGAATTGCATTATTTGCTGCTGCTACATGTAAAGGAGTTTGCCAACTACGATCCCTAATATTAACATCTGCTTTATGGCGTAACAAAACTTCTACCACATTGTGATTCCCTGAGCAACAGGCTCTGTACAAAGGAGTTAACCATTTCTTATCTTTAGCATTTACTACAGCTCCATTTAACAGAAGTGCTTCTACAATTGCTGGATCTCCCCTATATGCAGCTGCATGCAGAAGAGATCTTTGTTCCCTATCTTGCCAGTTTGGATCTTCCTTTTTTGACAATAGTGCTCGAACTTCATCCACATCTCCAAAAAATATAGCTTGTAGCAAAGGAGACTGCAAAGATATTAATATTTTATTTCAAAATACATTGAAATTACATAGGATGTCGTATATGGGAAATATAGCAAAGACAAATTCAGCATACTAAAATAAGCAAGAAACGTTCAACAAAATATATCCTGTATATTGTTTTTTGTTTCTGAGTTATAGCTTGTTTTATGTTATAATAATTTCTTATTTACTTTCAAGAAATTGTCTTCAAAGTGTCTGCCTCCAGTGTCAATAAATATATTAATGTCTCATCATAATTACTTCAATATTAGAATAATTCAAAATGTAATTTATATACTAACAATTTCAATTATAATACAATATTTAATGATATTTACAAATCTATATTATAACCTTAAGATATGCAGTCTTAACAAATGTCTAACGTGGAAGTGATTGTTATAGCACAAAACAAGTTGTAACAAATAAGGAGATGCAAAGTATATGTTTACGAACTTTTTTGCTCATTTTGGTAAGCCAAATTTGCTCTTGCTGTACTTCCCACATGCTAAGGAACACTTTGTATACAGATGTTTTTTATAACTTTAATTATGCTTATAGAATATATCAGCACCTTTATATTCCGAAAAAAAACAATATAAATAGATGAAATTAAAAGCTTCACATATAAATAACCAAAAAGTAATTACTAGAAAAAAATTGCATAACGTGCAATGATGCAATAAATCTATATTAATTCAAAGTTTCTAAACTACGAATTATATAATAATATGAATTATACAATAATATGAAGACGTAAAATACTAACAAGATCATTATATTGTAATGAATTAAAAACAAATCGGATGTTTGACACATGAATATAACCTCTGACTTTACAGTCTATGTATTCGGGAATTGTTTAGCGAGATGTATTCATTTAAGCGAATAAAAAGAGAACATACCCCGTCACGCAATTCCTGCACGTTCATGATTAATAGATTTGTTCAATGAATACAAATACGGACAAGTATTTATAAAAACATAGTTCTAGAACTGTAAAAAACTGACATAGTAGTGTGAGTCATACTTCACAAGTATCACGGTGTTATTACTTTCATTTTGCAGTCGAGTTTAATATAAACATATTGTAGCATCAATTTCTCTTTCTTTTTTTTTTCCTTTTTTTCTTAAATAAGCAGCGACGTCATGTATGAAAAGATTACGAAAATATATGCATAATTTTATCTCCGATTATAAACAGTTATAGCTATCTTCTCATAGTGCGTTCTATCTTTATTCTCTCAAATTATCAGCAGTTTGTAAATAGTAAATGGAAATGCAAACGATACGCTCGCGCAAAAATTAAATCATTTATCATTAATCATGCGAAATGTGATACACGCTTATCTTTCAACTGTTTCCTGTTGCATGGTACATAATAACTTTTTCCGGTTATGTAAAATAATAATATTATTACATATGTATGTCAATTTTCTGCTCTAGAAATGGATATGGACACATTCGACCAAACGCATTACTGTATAGAAAAAATTAGAGAAAAGAATGTACATAAATTCGAAGAAAAATCGACAAATGGCTCGTTAAATGCGGTACCTTCGACGTTAAAATTTATCTTTGATTCTGGAAATTTTAAAATTCAAGAAAAAAAAGTAGAAATTATGAACTACTTTCTCAAACCATGCCCTATTCGATTTTTACCATTGGAAACTGATTATTTTAGGTTTAAAAATGTCTATCAGGTGAACAAAAAGAATTATACGTGCATAATTCGTTGTTTAATCCTTTATATTATTATCATATAAAACTGAGAATTGCGTATATTATATAGAGAACATGGCTCAATCCTGGATCTGTTTTCAAATTGAAAATTTTATTTATACCTGATGAGGATAGAGATTACAATGATATTTTGAAAATATGTTATTTCAATGATCAAACGATCCAAATAAAAATTTATGCGGAAATGACGATCAAGTTTTCTTTCCCCACTGTTGTAAATTTTGGAAATGTACCGCTTGGTCGGACGTAAGTTGTGTAGTTCTTCGATCATTGTGCCGTATAATCAATCAATATAAATCCTTGCAGAGTTTCTTACAAAATACCAATACACTCTCACGCAGAAAAAGATTTCTCTTTCGCTATTATACTATTTAACGGAGGATCGTGTGTCGACGTTTATCCTCGACGGGGTACACCCGATTTATAATTCATAATTAAATTAAATTATAATTATAATTTTCATTCTACGACGATATCATATTTTACTCACCTTTTAGGTCGCGTAAAATTGAAACAGAAACCTGTCACAATTGTGGTTATCTATAGGCCCCTTCGCTACATAAGTATGAATTTTCAAATACGAATATTCATATCTGACTTATGCAAAGCTCCGCATGTTATAAATTTCTATGCGTACACTCGACCAGGTCTCTTACGGTGAGAATCCCTGCAAACAGAATCTTTTATTAGAAAAGAGAAAAGACTATGAGAATAAACGCGAATAAAAAAAATGATTAGAGAAATACTGGAGAACGTCGAAATAAAAGTAAAAAGCAAAATGCAGCGGAGAAAGATTGGCACGAGTTTTTCCAAAGAAGTGAAACCAATTTCCGTGAAAGAAGATAAATCGAAATATTGCCTGAGAGAATCTACCGCGAAGCGCACAAGTTTTGAGAAACTTTTGTTAAAACGATGTAGTCACTTCACCTTGTATACGCCGCATGCCGTCAATTGTATTCTAAATTTGAAAATTCGAAAGTCAATCAGCGAACACGAATTAAAGGGTTAGAGTTTTTATATATGTACATGCTTACGTGAAAAATGTACGAATTAATTGTTCGTTTACTATAGGACCGCTGGGTACATTTTTACTTCAAATTATGAAACAAAAAACAGAAAAACTGAAGGAATTTTTGGCAAAAGTGGAAGCTCACTATCGGAAAAATGAACAAATGAAGTTTCATCATAAGCCGAAAGTGAATGATGGAACGTTCGATGCTAGTACAAATCAAATGATCGAAATTAAAACGCAGCGAGAACAAGCTTGGAATAACTATAAAGATTTAACAACGACCTCGGGAAAATATATCTTTGAACAAGAGAAACCTAAAAAGATAAGACAAAGAATATTAAGGGTTTCCCAAAAAGTACACACATGTCTTAATTACGAATTACTTACCATATAAAAAAGAAATCTTCATCTATAAGTCTTGTTTCGTAGTATCCAAATACAACTTCAACGTCATTTCGAAAAGAAGAGTCATTTTTCCATTACTGCAAAATTCTGCCCTTTCTTCAAACGGCTCGCAAAATCGTGTTAAGGAATCGATTGCTAAATGTACTTTTAAAATTGCAAGGATTAACACCCGAATCAATTAGCCAATTTGAAGAACCATTTATAGGAAATTATTCGCTTACATCGCAAACTTAAAAATTAAAACGACATGCAATTTATAGCGTGATCTAATTAAATGTTCACCGTTGTTTCCAAAATACTTAATTTACTGTAAAAGAATTAAATCTCGAAGCAATTGGATCATTGCAAATATTTGATTCACAGTTGCATCCATTATCATTTATAGGTGGCACTGTTACAAATGCCGCCAAAACTTAGGAAAAAGCGTCTGCTCATGGTTGATACATATTAGTAGTCTGAAAATAGGAAGTCTGCAAAAGTATAAAGTATTCTTAATGTAATTCAGTATTTTATATACTAGATTTCAGATTTTAGCTCTTTGAATTTAATTACAAAATGTATTTCAACCTAAACACGAATATATATTGAATAATTTATGCTTCTTCCAATAATACTGTACACATGGATTTTTGCGTAACTTTCAATTGCAATGGGAAGGTGAACCTTAACGATTGGGAACTAGATAGAAATGGTTTATTTATACGCGGAGAAGTGGAAAACGTTTTATATCCGCAAGATGACTGTCCCTTGATGGAAAAGCATGTACAACTTTTTAATTATAGTATGCCCGCTGCAACAGCATTGTTAGACCTAAAACATTTTAACAAATGCATGAAGTAAGAAGTATTTTTGCGTGATTACATATTGTTATTACAAGTTGTTTTATCTTATAAAAATAGTTCTTATAAAAATAGTAGTAATTATATTTATTAGTATCCTATGTATCTTTTGACAGTATGCAGTTAAAAATACTCAGCAGATATGAAACTTACAATCAAGTTTTAAGTTCAAAGACAAATGATGTTGATTTTTATTATGTAAGATGTGTTATATCAGAATTTATTTTATATATTCGAATGTACTTAAATAGGTAAGATAATTTATTTTTCAATTATTTTTTTTTTACTAGTATATATACTAAAGATATAAATTTGTAGTATTAAAGGAAATTATCAATTATTGAAAGCTATAAATGAAGATATAGAAGAAGAATTTAATGAATTATTTATTATAATGAAGCATTTTTTGGAAAGAATACATAATATCCCTGATACTACATTTCATTATGCACCATCTAAATTAGGCAATCAGGTTTGTAATTAAATAATGATATTTAATATAATATAATTTTATGTCTTATATCTCACAGTGTATACAACCAGAATATCATATGTATCATATGCACATTGAATTAAGGTGGTATTTTATCTCATTGATGTATGCAAAGAACATATATTGTCAATATTCAATTGAGAATTATTTGGATGAACTTGAAAATATGCAAACAATGATTATTAATGATCTAATTTATATCTCATTAAAAATATTTGAAACGGTAAAAATATTATATTTTCATAAAAATATTGTGATTAAATATTTAGATGTATCTCTTAGACCTGTTCTTATTTTTTGCAATATATTTTAGATGCCTTTGATACATATACAACAAAAAACTCCATATAATTGTACTTGCATTCGTGAATTATGGCTTATGCTTCAAATATTTATTGATAGTTTATCTGACAGAATGAAATCAAAGGTATTATAGTTTATAAAATAGTATGTAGCATATAATATATAAAATATACTTTTTATAATATATTTACAACTATTTTTAGTCTTTTTGGGAGTATGTAAATGGATGTATCAATGGATTATTGAACAGGAATGTATCTAATAGAAACCAAGAATTTTTTACACTTCGTAAAAATTCTGAATTATTCTGTTTGTGGATTGTTCATCATCTTTCACTGCTATATGGATACAATAGTGATGGAGTATATTTAGGATTTAAGTGTTCAAGGGTGATTATATTTTGTTTATTTTTACATTTTGAAGATTAAATAATAACTTTTTTTGTTTTATAAGATTAGAGCAAACTATGAACAATTAGAAAGAATCTTGAAAATATATATTTCCAAAGGAGGAAAAGATGGTGAACGAGATGAAATTGATGATGAATTACGTGTAATGATACCTTTATTGAATACTATTGTTATCAATTGGTGGCAACCTCGAATTTCAATCATTTCACTTCTGTGGGATTGTTTTCACAAAAGATTAGATGAACCATTTCTGTTACAAGTATCTGGTCCTTGGACATTGTCAGTTGAAAAGTATGTAAATATTTTATATGTTTGCATATTTTTTATCATAAATTTAAAAAAATTCTTTGGTAGGAAATCCACTATGGATCTTCTTAAACAAGTAAAAGATAGAATTAATAATATGGAATGTATTAAAGAATCAAGTTATGGAATGTTCTTACGTCTGCTTGGTGAGTCTTGTCTCTACATAAATTAATTAGACTAGTAAACATATTGATTACATGTAATAGTATTATAATTACTTGTTGTAGGATCCTTTTTACGAATAAATTATAGTAACAATGATACAAAACATTGGAATCAAATTAAAAGTCGTATTTATTCTAAATTTTCTAAGAGTAAAGTCGAAGAATTTTCTATAACTGGCCTGTATAATTTTATTTCATTATTTTTAACATTAGCTGTTACTGCTGATACTATAAATGTTGTAAGTTTTGAATTATTTTCGAAAATTGCCTTTTATGAAAATTATCAATAAATTTATGAAATTATGATTGGTAATAAAATTAATTAATTTTTTATAGTGTTCAGTAATGTTTGATCTTTTACCATTATCAAAAGAATACAATAGCGAAAATAGTAAAAAACATAATTTAATTTGGAAAGGAAAACTGGCTGTTCTTCTTTTATATAGTGATCTTAAATTGAACCTAACAAATATAGCACCTCTATACATAGATACGGTACAGTATATAATTTAATCCTAATAATTTAGGATTTTCATATCTTTCATTATAATTGAATTTTTAGGTGAATACTATATGTTGTCGCAAAGATGATACATCCTGTGCAATGATGAATAATTTTATCGATGTATTCAGTACGATTTTATCATACGATAGTATTGAATTAGGAGAATATTTATTATTTAGTGGATGGATAGATCGATATTTATTAGAATGTTCAAATAAAATGGTAGGAACATTAATGAAAGTATTAGCTAATGTCTTTGAAAGATGCATTTATGTTGCTGAGACTTCTAATACAGGTGTGTTATTTTTTTATTGTATAATATTTGTAATTTGTGTTATCTGTATTTTAATTCATTTATTTGTAGCCAATGCAGAAAAAATGTTAGATGTTTTATGGTGTTATGTTGCAAGTAGAGTTAGACAACTTGTATTTGATCCTGTTCTTATTAATGAACATTATAAAAATATTTCAAAACTTGCTGTTTTATTTACTTTGGAGGCATTGAAAAATCCAACAATAGCAAAGAAGCATAAACATTCAGCTACATCTCTATTTCAACTTTTTGCATCATCAGTAATTGTTAAAGACATAAGGTAATAAAAATAAATATTTATGATAACATGATTGAAATATAATTGTATAAAACTCTCATTTCAGAATTACGAGACATTATTTAATGTTAATACTTGAACAAAACCAAGCAATTCATGATTTGAAAAAAGAAATAAAAAATTTGGATATAATACTTATACAAGTTAGTAAATAAAATTAATTAATAAATATTTTAAGAAATAAAATTTTAATACAACATTTAAATTTCAGGCATGGATAAAGTGTTCTATTATTGGTCATGATACAAACAAAGATGAAGTAGAAGTTTTACAAAATTATGTATTAGAATTAAATGATATCAAGGAAATTTTCGAAACAACTGAGAATATTCAAGAATTTAAAAATAATGATAAATCTATTTTAATGTTTATAATGCACTCAATGAAAAAAAGAAAGACTTTAAAAGTAATGTTATTATTAACATTTGAAATATATATTAGAACACAGTTTGGAACATTCATTATTAATGTTTTTTAGACTGAACAAGAACGAATTCAATATGATATAAAATGGAAATTGTATTTCAGTCACCTAGAAAAGTGGATTCTTTCACCTATTACGGAAGAAACTAAAGATTCAGAATTGGCTTCGTGGATATATAGATGTATTGGAACACTATTTCTCTGTACTTCTATTATGTTATATTCTAAAGTAAGTGTACACAATATTATTCTACATAACGAATGAGAGCATTATATTTAATTTAAGATATTTTACAGAATCAACCAAACAGTATATTTAAAATATTACTAAATAAAACTATATTATCAGTGGAGCAACCTTTTTTAAAAAATTTGGGAAAAAAAACATTTTCTATGATACTCTTGGGTATGGAAGCCCTTAATGTTAAAAGTGATATATCACTTCAAATTCTAATACGAGATCTTTTTGATCAATACATGCCACTCTTAATAGTACCGACTGTTAATGCAAATAGTTTCAAAGTATCCGACTCATTACTAAAGTGTTTTAAAGATGCAAAAGCAGATTTTATACGCTTAATATTCGAGATTTTGATGACGAATTTTTTTAATATTTCAAATGACAATATGATGCATAAACATTCTTATTTAGTATGTATTATTATATATATGTACTATTTTTTTTATATAATTGTAGAATTCATTATAATTTATTACGTCTTTAACACAGGTAATGATACTTTTACAAAATCTGCTTAAAAATGAAATAAATTATGCATGTCATATAACAGAATTCATTATCGTAATTTGCACATCATATATTATTAGATGTTACATAAAAGTTCATGACCACCATCCACATAAACAACAAACTATTGATTTCATAGATAATATTATTAGAAATAAATATTATAAAGAGAATAATTCTTTGCAGTAAGTCCATTAATTTTCATTAATTTAATATTTACTTTTAAACAGTAATTTATAAAATTAAAAATTACAGGAATAAGTTCTATGATATAATATCTAGTTCTGTTAGAAAGTCATTAATAATAAATCAGCATAATACTTTTGAATTTTTACGTTCGATTTTATCAATATCGACTGAAATAATACAATTTTTATCACCAGAACTGGAGCATAATTTAAGTGATTTGGAAATTAATCGACGTCCAAACGCAGCGTCTTTTAGGTGAGATACTATGAAAAATAACTGACTTTAAAAACTATTATACAATTTTTGTTTCACTTTCAGATATTCCTGGAATCAACTCCAAAATCTTATGAAAAGCATTAAGACAAATCACTAATAAGCTTAAAAAATTTATTAATAAATATCTGATAGTATCATACTGATACTTTGTTATTAAGCTATGAATTGATTAGATACATGTAAATTACACAAACGGATAATTATATCTGTATACATAATTTCATGCAATATCTTAAAAATTATATTTTTTCAAAAAATAAAGCATGATTCTAAAATCATACATTGGAAAAAAATTATTATTACATAAAACTATAATATAATAATTAAGCTATTCAGCTAGAATATATAATAATTAAAAAAAGGAATTTTATCTTACAAAGTATGTAAAAAAGAGCACAGTCACTTTTTTTTATTTTCGATGTGAGTGTCTTGAACGATGATGTTTTATTGATGTAGTAGTTGTACTACCAGGAGGTGATCGTCATCCAATTAATTCAAGGCGAGATACTGCATTACGTACAGCATTTCGTAGAGATTGTTCGACATTGCCATTTAGTAATGACTCAAGTCTTTCAACGTAATTATCAATATTCTGTAACGTTGCACCTTCGTTTGTGCCTAAAAGTAGAAAAACAGACAATAATTTTAAATGGAAGTACAACTGAATAGAAGATTGTTATAGACATACTACCTGGCAAAAGTACTGTAGCAAAACAATTAGCTAACTGTGAACGAAGAGAATCCAAATGACGCTGTAAAGCTTGATTAGTTGTATGTTGCTGATTTGTTTCTGATTCTAAACGATTTACAGCTGCATATAAACTGTCTACATGTCGTTGAAGCACTGCATTTTGAGCTTCATAATCTGATGTAGCTTTTCTCAATTGTCTCAATTCAGCTTCACAGGCTACACGTGTAAAGATTATGTAAATAAAGTTTTTATATTATAACTACGATGATTCCACTTATTCATCACAGTCTATCTTTTTTTTCGTTAATGACGTAAAAAATATTCATATCAGTTTTTAATTAAATATTTTGTATATATATAAAAATAATTTTATATGCAATATTTACCTTTATTATGATCCAAAAATTCCTCTGTAAAAATAGGTATATCAAAACCTGTGAAATCATTATCTTTATCTTGTTGAATATCCTATAATTAAAAGATTAAATATTAGCACAGCATAAGTAAATTGAAATACAATTAATAATTGAAACGAATGTACATTTTGTTCAGAATTTATATCAGTTCCATTCCTCTCTTTTTTGCTCTCTTGTTTTTCCGAAGATTGTTTTTCACTGAATAATCGATATGCTTCTGTCTGTTTATAATCACTAAATTCACGGTTATAACGTTCTTTATCCTGTTCTGCTGCATCTAAATATTGTTGTTTTTGATCAGCAGGCAATGTGCTCCACTCTGAAGCAAGAAGCTTTGTAATTTCAGCAAATGACAGAGTAGGGTTTTCACTTCTTACTTTTTCTCTCCGATCATTTAAAAACCTGTCACAATGTATTATTAAGTATATTTTTCATTATATTTTTTTGATTAAATATACCTGAAATAACCAGTTAAAGGTTGTTTGGGAGCTGTAGCATCTCTTGGAGCTTTCTTTCTTTTCTTAGCTCTATTAGTTGTATTAGTAGTATTACTTCCAACTACAGAAGTATTATTTTTTTTAACTCCATTATCACATATAGAGTCAGGTGTTTTGTCTTCTCCACTTTCGGGTGATTTGTCTGATAAATAAATCATTATGACAAGGTATTATAACAGAGCAATATGTTTTATTTTAAATAAATAATCTTGCATACGTGTATGTTCCTCAGTCTCTCCATTGTAAGTTGGTTGTTCTGATCCACCGTTGCTCTCTGGCACATCAGTAAGCAGTGCATTTTCACTCATTTTTAATAATAAATTTCTTCACCCCGTTTTAATATATTATTTATTTTAAACAAAATATGTTACTAATATTATCAAACTTGAAGTTATAATTCTATCAATGCTTGAGAAGTTACGTGATACACAATGTCATTTATAGAAGACATAAATTTAATAATTATGAATACAATGAAAGCATGCATACATATGCCAGCTTATTAGGTTAAATAATGAAAATATTGATATGTCTGTAATAACAAAGCATAAAGAAAGCACTGTAACAAATTCAGATGAAGGTATTAGTCTGTCATCTACATTCTTTTTAAATAAAAATCAATCTTTTTACGAGAAAAAACAGACTATTGATAAATACACATAATTCCCAAACTTCGTTGGCATAAACACTGCAGTCAAATTTTCATGAGAACAGTTCAGTGACGCTAATTCAAAAACTGATCATTTTACCGCTGAATCATAACGCGAAATTTAGATTTGAGAATACGCTTTTAATAAAGAATTATGTTTTTCGCGGCATGTTAAGAAGTGTTATATGCTTAAACAAAGCCGGTTAGCGCAATGTTTAATCATTGTTTGATTTTGTTATAATGTGATATTTAATTTTATATATTGTACATGATAATATGGTATGTGAAATATGGAAGTACGCGATAATTCAATTATCCTTCAAAGTTGCAGGTAAAATATTATATTTGAATTTTTTTGTGAATGAGATCTTTTATTTTTACATAATAATAGGGAAATGATTTTTCCAGCAACGTGACTGTAGCAGACTCGGTATGGAAATTTATCAACAATCCTGTAATTGCAATATTCTCCGACTTAAAAAATGCAACTGCCAAACAAATGCTTTGCTCTTTGCTAGAATCAATAATTAAAGGTTCAGCTACTTTGACAACAGTTTTGATCCCACCTTTCAGCAATGGAATGCAAAATGAAACGTTAAAATATCAATATACTGGTATGACAATTGCGAGTAACAATAAATGATAAAGTTTGGTCAAAAATTTCGTAAAGTCAATGTATTTTTGATTATAGCATTTACTACATGGTTGTTTGGTATTATGTTTTACCTGATTGGAGATCCCTTAAGCAACGAAGTTTTGGACAATAGTATAGAAATACAAGCTTGTATGCTTAGAATATTATCTAGACATCACGTCACAATCTTTGAAACAATTAGTAATGAATATATGAACATTCTTCAAGGTATAGACTTAAAATAATGCCATCTTACATGCAATGTCTAATCACATTATGAATTTTAGAAATATCAGAATTTTACAAGGTCCATGGAGAGAAAGATAAAATTATATTGGATAAATTTCATACAGAGAAAAATGCTATAGAAAATTTGGATCTCCAAGCATTTCCTGTTGCAATAAACTATCATGATATACCATTAGTACAAACATCTATAATTAAAGTAATACATCTTCATTTAATTTTTATCAATATGTCTTTTATTATACTTAAGATTGTTGCACTTCTTTTCTCAGATTATAAAAAAGACAGGAGTTTCTGTTTGGAATCCTAAAATACTTTCTGAGAAAGTACTAAAAGTAGTGATCATGTCAGCTCCAAATGTAAAATTTATAGGATTAGACCTTTGTCTGAGATTAATGGAATTTTCCTTATTTAGTAAACAAGTAAGTATATTGTTAATTAGTTAAAAAATATCAAAATATCAATCATTTGAAACTGAATTTTTTAAGGATCATGAAAATTTAGTACTTTGTACTATTGAAATTATTAAAACACTTCCTCTCTGGAGGAACTTCAGAGAAATATCAGAAAAACAATTAAACCAATTTCTACGGACATGTATTGAACTTATTCAATTTTTATCAGTATCTTCAAACAGCATTGAACTGTGCTTTCAAATTATTGATTTTACAATCAATGAAATAAAATGTGAGTTAACTATGTATATTTTACTATCTCTCTATAACAAGTTATAAATTAACGATTCATTTTAGATCATGATACCATTTTTAATACTATAAAAGAAATAAAAAGTATAGCATGTAACAAGATTCTACAATATTTTATCATGGAACCAAAGATTTATACTCTTTCTGAAACAAAAAGATTTATTTCATATTTTGAAAATTGTCCGGTTTGTATAACAATTAAAATTATAAAACAGTATATTTAATATACAAACTTTTATGATATACATATATATACATCATTATTTTAATGCAGAATTATTTTAGGACTTCATTATTGTTTTTGTGCACTATATTTTTATTGATATTAGACATACAATTAGTGCAAATACTTCAGTGAATAATACGTGTGAATTATGGAATTTATTAAGAAAAGAATTAATAATTGCAACAGAAAAGGGAAAATTTGAAACAACTGTGCATATTTTAAAAGCCTCAAATATTTTACAATTGTGGTTAAAAGAGCTGCAGTTAACAACAAATTTATATACACATGAGTTAGATTATGTTTTGAAAGTACTATTACAGAATCTAAATTCTGGACTATGTCAGCAAAAAGATATTATTTTTGAATGTTTAATGCATATAATAGCACATAATGAATCAAATAAAAATTTAATTCAGAAAATATTGATATTACCATTTATGCATATTGAAATTCCTGTGGATATAGTAAATAATCATGTAAAAGAAATTGCTAAGTCATTTAATACTACTACAATGTTAAAATGTCTTGAAGTTCTATGTGAACATGGTAATGGAATTGAACGATTAAAGGTATTAAATGCATGTATAATAGGCCATCAACCTGAAATAGCAGCAGGAGCAGTATTGTAAGTAATTTATGTAGATATTATATTATTAAAATAAATATAAATTTTAAATTATATAAATATTGCATATAGGAATAGTATACTACTTTTAAGAAATGAAGAAATACAATTGGAAAGTATTTCAAACTGTGTCCTTCAACCTGCATTACATTCAAAAGAACAGAAAGTTCATGAAATGCTTGTAATTGCATTGAGCAAAATAAGCTGTTATTTGTCAAAATGTGGAAATTTCAAAAGGTAATTTGTTATTTGATTTATTTTATTAATCAATGAAATAATGTTTAATAAAATATTTTTGTTCACAGAAAATCTGATAATACGTGGACATTAAAATGCAAATATTGCAATGATATATCTGAAAGCAATGTAAATTCTAATGCTTATGTCTTAGAAGAACACGATCTTCTTCTTCGTCCATATTTTAGTTTGTTATCTTCAAATTTTGTTTCAGTACGTTTGAACTTCTCTGAAAATATACTTTCTTTTTCAAATCACATTATGTCCTTTAATAATAACGAAGTAGCAAAACTATGGTTTTTATATATAGAAGATGAAAATCCTGTAATTCGTTCCAATATTGCTGCAGCAATAAAAAGATTATTGTTAAATAAAATAAGCATTGTATCAAAATTTACCATGATTATTGAAGATGATGTACCTGTTTGTTTAAACGAATTTGTCGAAACACTTATAAATACTATAGCACAGACGCTTATAAAAGCTTTAACAAATACAGACCATATGTTGCACGACACTTTACTTATTACTGCAAAAAATTGTGGATGGTATAATGAATATTTAAAAATACCTATTTTATTTAATATAAATTTTATAATTTCCTAATTTTCTTACAATTTTAGCGTTCCACTGTACATAATGGAAAGGCAAATTTTGAATATATTTTTAATTACTATATTGCATTCAATGTCATCTTCAACAGCAGTAGCGTTTGCAACTACTGCATATCATGATATTGCTAAAGTCTTAAACATTTCTCCAAAGGTTTTATATGTTCGATATAAAAAAGATTTTCTCAAGGTATATAAATTTTACTAAAATTAAAAGATATAAAATTATATTTTATCAAGTAATATGTTTGTTCATTTTAGCTTATAATACAATATGCAGTTCATAATTTTATACATTATTCTTACAATATGGCTACATCAATACACCGTGTTGCAAAATGTATTGGATATGAAGGATCACGTCAATTATTACGCAAAGATGGACATTATGCAGTTTGTTTCTTGCTTTCTTTTATCATTGATATGCCAAATGCAAGAACTCTCTTACACGACATAGCTGAATTAATCAGTATGAATGAGAAACAGATGTTAAAAGAATATTTTCCTGTATGTATATTAATGAGTAAATGTATTTATTGTATTGTTGCTAGTTACAACTTTAATTTAAATATATTTGTTTAGTATATTTGCAGTTATGCGTTTCTGAACATGCCTCTTGTTTCTGGCACGGAATGTTTAAGATTAATATCGAAAATTACGCAAACGAATTTGTCACTTTTAACAAGACAATCATTTATGGTAATGTCCAAAAAACACTACATTATTAATACTTAATTTTAACAATTTCATAACTTAATAGGGGATATTTGAAGAATTAATATTAAACTTTCACGAATCTCCTGAGAAGATAGTTGGATTATTAAAAATCATATCTGATTATGATAATAATGCAGACAAAAATTACGTTACAAAAAAAGGGATTGTAAGTTCATATCTTCAATGGTTTTCTTCCCTTGTTTTTAGAAAAAAAAAAAATCATATTTGATTATGAAAAATAAAAAAAAATCAAATTATATAATGTTTACAGGAATCTTACTTGAATTTACGTTTACATGGCATATTAGTTAACTTTGATATAAAACTTGGATCAAAGTCAGATGAACATACACAGCAATCAGCACTTGCTTCATTAGCTGCACTAATGCATTTTATGGGTGCACAATATTTGACACCGCTAAGATATAAAATTTTAGCGACACTACGAACTTCACTAGGATTTAAAAGACCAGGATTTGGACTTCTTGTTTGTGATGCATGGAATGCATTTATTCATAAGTATGTAATAAAAATTATTATGTTTTTAAATAACAAGTAATAGATTGTATTTTAAATTCTTAGCATAGCTATCGAAGAACTTGGCCCATTGTTGCCGACAATATATGTTTCATTAATATCACTGTTTAATATGTATCGAGAAAAAATAATTGCAATGTTGAAATTCCTCGTTATTAAATGTAACGAAAATTGCCCAGATCACATTGCAGAATTGTTTTTTATAGATGATATTGAAGTTCCTGTTGAAATTTCAAGCATAATTAAAGCACACATTTTACAAACTAAGTATATAAAATATATCTTTTTTTCAAGATATTAAATCACATATAGATTGCTACATTAACATTTGTATAAATTTTAGACCTACAGGATTTGAAGCAAATTTAAAATTATGGCTTAAACGAATTACTCATGAAACGGACGAGGTAGTAAGCAGAGCTTTAAAGTATTTACAAAAGTTTTTAGCTGAAAATCGCAGTCAATTGAACGAAATGATTTTAAGTGAAACAAATATCCATCCATTGATTGTTGAGGTGTGTTTGTTATTTAAAATAAATATATGAATGATATGTAATAACTATAATAATATATTTAATGTAATGATATAATTTTTTAGCTATTACATACATTATTAATTGGATGTCAACATAAAGATGAGTCTATCCGTTTACTATATGGCGAATGTCTAGGAGAATTAGGCGCTATTGAACCAAGTCTTCTTCCTCGTAGAATTATTTCTAGAGGTATACTATCTATTAATTTGTTACTCATTTGATTTTTATATTAATTTCTCTGTTTTAGTTGACAGTAAATTTATTCCTGATATGAATGAAGAATTTGTTTGTGCTATGCTTTTCGAGCATGCTCGAGCGTTTCAAATGCAAAAAAGTAGTCAAAGTATGGATTGTTTCTCACTCGCTATTCAGGTAAATAGTACACTACTTTAAGATTATTTTTTACTGTGGATATATTTTTTCCTACAAATGTAAATAATTTTAGGAAATTTTAAAAACATATGAAATTTCACCTCAAGGCAAAAACAATGAATTATGGAATAGTTTACCAGTGACTATGAAACAGATTATTACCCCTTTTTTAACTTCACATTATAAGATTGCAACTATTAGTGATGATAAAACCTTTCCCCATCCTATTTATGGGTAAATATTTAATTTAAAAAAATCTAATATTGTATTATCATTCATTATGTTCAAATAATCTATTTTTCAATCAGCTCTGAAGCTGGTTCTTCTGTAGAAAACTGGGCTTATAATTGGCTTTGCAATATGTTTAGCAATATTCGTGATGAAACTCTTAATAATATATTACGTGCATGTAAATTAGCACTTAAGCGTGATATAAAAATATTAACATTTTGTTTACCCCATGTTGTTGGTAAGTATTTTTGTTATATATAATTTCAATAATGTCAATAATTCTAATCTAAATATATATTACTTTTTATTCATTAGCGTATATAATAACAAATAGCTCTGAACAACAGCATGCAAAAATACGGGAAGAAATATTAACAATTATCGATGTCAGAAAAAATCCCACACTTGATCATGAGCTATCACGACATAGACCTCTTAGACATGGGCATAGTATAAAAGCAGATGATACTAGAATTTCTGAAGAAACTAGACGTACACGTTGTGCGCAGGTATGTAAATAAAAAGTGACATCCTTATTGTTCAATTAAAATTTTTTTTCATCATTTTCGAATAGATAGTATTTTCAATATTAGATCATTTACAAAGGTGGCTTTGGGAACAACGATTAACACGTAATCATAAGTATGAAACTTTAAAGAGTGAGTCCTTTATATTTAAATAGTTAATAATGAAATATTATAATCATTAATGAATGTGTATTACCGTGAATCTAGATTTTTGTAAATCATTAAATACATTAGTAGTAGCTGAAGGATGTTATCAATTTCGAGAATATCATAGAGCATTAATGTATCTAGAACAACACATGGCTTCTTCTAATAAAGGATTATCAGAAGCATTGGAGGGTGAATTACTTGCTGTAAGTTTTACATCAATATAAGATTAAAAATGATCTATTTATTAACTTTAGTTTTCTTTTTATGAATATGTAGAAAATATATGCGCAATTGGACGAACCAGATGGTATATCTGGTATATTAGCTACTCAAGATCATACTCCTACAGTTCAACAATTAGTTTTAGCTCATGAAGTCAATGGGCAGCTTCAGGTATAATGAAATTTATTTATTTAAATATCGATTTATATTTATATATTTAAAATTAATAATTATAAAATGTTATATTCAAAATTAATAATTATAAAATGTACAGGATGCTGCTACTTGTTATGAGAGATTGGCACAAAAGAAAACTTTAAAGCACACGTATTTGCAAGGAATGATTCAATGTTATCTCGGTCTTGATCAACCTTTTACAGCAAAACATATCACTGAAGGAGTTTTAAATAACAGACCAGAGTTAGAACCATTAATGATTGAACATGAACCATTTTGGAGGTTGGCTCATTTCATTAGATTTGATGATATTTCTCAAAAAAATATAAAACATATACTACTTGAAGATCTTAAAAAGGGTATTAAACCAGATTTATTATCTTTGAAAAGAAATTTAGTATTGCTGTTAGAAAATGCTTCACGCCCAGGAGCTTATCAACAGAGCTATTCTTACATTATGAAGTAAGATTAATATTTAAAATTATATTTCATATTAAAAAATGATACTTATTGCATTTTATTATGATGAATAGGCTACATATATTAAATGAATTTAATAAAGCAGTTAGTACTATGCTAACTGATATAGACAAATTACCGATGATATTTGAGGAGTGGGAAAAACGTTGTCAACTTGTTCGCGCTTCACGAGGAGTAGAATTTGTATTAAGTATGCGTAGAGCTACATTAGATTTAGCACTTCAGTTACAGAGAGAAATTGAAAATAAAGAAAATTCTGTATTGAAACAAGAAATTGGTAAGATTTGGCTTAAAAGTGCGAAGATTGCGAGAAAGTAAGTGCTGTTGTTTATTGTTAGTATTCATTATCTTGCTTCGGCATTCAAGTTACAGTTTTTTCTTTTAGGAGTAGATTACATCAACAAGCATATATGTATATTTTGTCTGCTAGTGATTCTTGTCCTCAACAACAACTTTATATAGAACAAGCTCAATTATATTGGCAAAAAGGCTGTCAGGAAGATGCTTTTATAACTTTAAAACGTTGTTTTTCTAGTTGTTTTCAGCCGGCTATGTACTATAAGACTTTGCCAGTAGAAGAATGTTTAGAAGAAAGAAAACAGTGTGCAAAGGTTTGTATACGAAAAAAATACAATATTTATCAGAAATATCAATATTTATTTATTTTAGGCAAAACTTTTATATGCAAAATATAATGATGAAACAGTTAATGTGGATACTGATGCTAACATTATAAATTACAAAGAAGCTATTGAAGTTTGGAGAGAATGGGAAAAAAGTTTATTGTTTTGTGCACAATACTACGAATCTGTCATAGATAGAATGACAGATGAAGAGAAAGATTCAAGAGGACGGTAAGTATGAAACAAGTAGTATTTCTAATGGTTAAGATAATTGACAATATTTTTAGAGACTTACAAGTGCATACCATGAATTATTATGGAAAATCACTTCAATATGGTTGTAAATACATTCATCAATCTATGCCAAGAATGTTAACTATTTGGTTGGATTTTGCTTCACGCACAACATCACGATCCAATAATCGGAATGATCGGGAACAAGACAAATTTCGACGGGACGCGTTATTAAAAATGTCAAAAATTATGGGTAAGTACAATAATTTTTTACTGAGATAAAATGGAACAAATAATAATTCCTATTTGATGATATAGAAGTGTATCAAGAAAGACTACCAATATTCATGTGGCTAACTGCATTTAGCCAACTTGTATCGAGAATATGTCATCCTTCTATCGAGGTACAAAAGACTATCTGCACTATATTAGTAAAACTAATTCATGCTTATCCTCAACATAGTTTATGGATGATGGCATCAGTTATTAATGTAAGTTTTTTTTAACTATTAATAATCGAAGAAAATTTTAATAAAGGATTCTTTCTTTCTCAGTCTTCATACCCTGCACGTCAGAAACGTTGCAAAGAAATACTCAATCACAGCAAACTTAAAACACCAGAAATGATTAAACTTATTACAGATTTTCATAAATTATGGGAGCAATTGATTGAATTATCAAACAAAACAATACCAGAAGTAAGTTAAAATATTAATTCATATAAACTTTTTTACATAAGTTAATAATTTTTTATGATTTTAGGGCATTATGAATACTACGGTAACTCTTTTGTCACGAAATCTTCCTCGCTTACTTTCAAATAAGGAATTTAGTACAATAATGATACCAACAACCAAATTTAGGCAATTGCATCTGCCGTCAAAGGGCATGCAGCTAGAAAGTTATAATGCATTTTCTACGTATGTATAGCATTTTTTTCTATACCTCTTATTATAGAAAATATATAATCTTTTGCAAATTTTAGAAATTGGATTCATATATCCGGAATAGAAGATAATGTAGCTGTTATGCCATCTCTTCAAAGACCACGGCGTATTACGTTAAGAGGATCGGATGGTAAAGAATATTTATTTATGTGTAAGCCAAAAGATGACTTACGAAGAGACTTTAGATTAATGGAATTTAACGATATTGTAAACAAATATCTTCAGAATGATCCCGAATCTCGACAAAGAAGATTGTATATTCGGACATACGTAAGTGTACAAAAATTTTAGACAGAAATACTGTTATATTTTGCAATATAAACTTAAATTTAAATTACAGAGTGTTGTGCCCCTTAATGAAGAATGCGGTTTGGTAGAATGGGTACCAAATTTAGTTGGGTTTAGACCAATTATAATAAACTTATATAAAGAGAGAGGTATTGCAATTTCCAATAGAGAACTTAGAAGTTTATTATGTTGTAAGTAGAAATGCTATATTGTAACATAAAATTGTTAATAAATACAGAAATTCTTACTTGCGTTTTATTGTAGCATTAAAAGATCCATTAGAGAAGAAGAAGAAAGTGTTTCTAGAACAACTTCTTCCGCGTCATCCACCAGTACTCGGAGATTGGTTTCGTCTTACATTCCCTGATCCATATGGATGGTATGTTTCATAATTATTTCTGTAAACAAAGTAAACATCTATTTAAATATAGGCACGTAAATATAATAAACATGTAAAATAGGTATGAAGCACGTACTGCCTATATTAGAACTACAGCAGTAATGTCTATGGTAGGATACATTCTTGGTCTTGGAGATCGTCATGGAGAAAATATATTATTTGATTCTAAATGTGGAGATTGTGTACACGTAGATTTTAATTGTTTATTTAATAGGGTATGTAAAACATTTATTCACAAATTAAAATTACAATTTAAATTACAATACAATTTTATTTTGTCACAATATATATTAAAACAAAATATGTATAAACGATATATATACAATAAGTATTTTTTAATAGTTAATTAATTAATAGGGAGAATTGTTTGAGTGGCCAGAACGTGTACCATTTCGTTTAACGCATAACATGGTAGATGCTATGGGACCATTAAAAATTGAAGGACCGTTTAGACGTGCTTGTGAAATAACTATGAGGGTTCTTCGACAACAAAGTAGCACGTTATTAAGTGTATTAACACCATTCGTATATGATCCACTTGTAAGCTGGAATAAAAATCATATTAGTGAAGGTGGTGAGAAAACAAATGAAAAAGTAAGTTATAGGAGTAATATAATATACTAATAATAAGTTTTTATTAGTATTTTATTAGTATATTATTAGTATTTTATTATTAGTATATAATAAGTTTTTATAAATAGAACATAAAATACGAAATTGAATATTTTAGGCTGTGGAGCATATAAAAAATATAGAACAGCGACTCAAAGGTTTAATTCGATATCATGGAAAACAGTTGGAAAATATTGCTTTAAATCTTAGTGTTGAAGGACAGACTAATCAATTAATTCTGGAAGCAACAAATGTAGATAATCTTTGTCAAATGTATTTTGGATGGGGAGCATATATGTAAAGAATGTTACAATTTATTAAGTATTTAATAATTCAATATCTATACATTTGTAAATTAAAACTATACAAACCGGTTTTCAAGCTCTAAGATTCTGAATTGAAACTCTGAAGCATCATAAAGTATGAGAATGCAGTACTGAGAATCTATAAATGTCAAATAATTGTTATTATTTCAGTAATCTTATGTTAATTTTTTAGACCAATATATGATTTACCGTTGTAAAATTTTCCAAATGCATTATGTATAATTTTCCTGCTGTAATATAACTAGGTCTTTGAGAACGTGAAATAATCATACACATTTCATCTTTAACAAAACTTGGTAATTGAAACCATTGTATAGAATATGTAGCTGTGCTTATACTGAGACTCTTTTTTACAATAAGAATTAATTTAAAATTAGTACATCTTTTTTTTATAAATATATAATTATATAATATCATTTACCTGTTGCATTAACATGTCTCCAGGAAAACAAAAAAGTAATAATTGAAAAAGTGCTACGATTAAGTGAGAAGCAAATTTAATCATTTTCGATTGTTCCATTAATGTCTGTAATGCAAAAATATGTATTAAACAATTTTTCATATTTTGTTATAGTTTTTTAAATTTAATATGCATACAGCAGAAACCTGGAATCCAACGAAACAAATTAGGAGACTACTGGTCACTGCTTGCAAAAAGAGGATTAGATGGAAATTTTTTTCCATATTATCACAAAACCTGAATTATATTAAGAAAAATAAGAAATAATAGTATTTCTTGAAATACATTAAATTTATTTACCAAAGAACTACTTGATGATGTTTAATTACATGTATCATTTGATTTTTTATTTCATATAAATTTGCACTTATGTGTTTTGAATTAGGCTTCAGGTTAATTACCTGAAACAATTAAATTATCTTAAAATGAATTATATATAAAGAATACAATTACTATATAGAATGCAATACATACACGATCAATGTACGGATCAAGTTGTTCTAAATTTTTTCTAAGTACTGCAAAATGTCCGCATGTATGAAGTAGTGCAGTTGCAATTAGACCATCAGTTGCAAGAATAACCAAACAACAAATACTTGTTGCCAATATTTGAGATACATATGCGATCTGTATATGTATATATTTATATTTATAAATTAATTACAATTAAATTATATTTGTATAAAAATGAAATGAAATGGTACCTCATAGAAGGGAAATTTATAAAAAGCTATAGGATATAATGCAGCAAATGGAAAGTTCTTTATAGTCAAATTATCTGAATCTTCATGCTTTATAATTAATATTTCAATAATAGGTAAACTAAAGAAAAATAATAAGGCATTACACATTGAAATAAAATATCCTTTAGTAATGGTTTTAGCATATCTGAAAGGATATATTATATTATTATATGAAAAAGATAATTATAATTTTTAATATTATATAATAACTACTTGCACTGCATATTCTTTTAAATATTCAAAAACATTGTCTTCAATTATTCTCCAATAATCTGTTAGCATAAATTCAATAAAAAGTTCCAAATCTTTCCTATTCAACATCCAAATTACTGATTTTAATGTAGCAAGTGAAATTGTCAATAAAGTTGAGCTACAAAAGATTGAAAAAAGAACTAATAAATGTGTTTTTATTCACAATTTCAATCACTTCACTTTTAAAAAATATTTATTGTATATATACCCTGTTTCCATAACAATGTTTAGATCGTTCCAATGTATATAAATCATTATTATTTCTGGTATGATAATAAGCATAATACAACTAATGCATATGACATATCTCACAGTATTTATTGGATAAAGTCCAACAAATTTTAGAACTAGTTGATTTAGGAAAATATAATTTCTAATATTCATTATATTTGAATAATATTTGCTTTATAACAATAAAAACATTTTAAACAGACATGGTTAAACACTGTTACACACTGTGCCACTAAGATTGAAACTATATTTTCGTTTGGATTTTATCCATATTTAGAGCTCATCCTATCGTTTTATACAGCAAAATGTTATAAGTTTAATGTGTTTAATTATTTTCTTAAATTATTAAGAGCATAATGACATATTTGCTTTGTAAAGCATTTCATGCTAAAACGTATAAAAGAAAGTATATAGTCATACACGAACGGTCCTTTTCATGAGTCTAATCGTTATAAATTTAATGCGTTTAATTGTTGCCTTAAATTATTAAGAACATAATGATATATTTGCTTTGTAGAGTACTTTATGCTAAAACGTATAGAAGAAAGTATATAGTCATACATGAATGATCATTTAATGAGTCTAGTCTCTCTCAGGTTCTTTTGAAGTTATATCCTTCATCATATATTATTTGCATAACTTTACCGTGGAATATTAAGTATGATGACAAGGAACAGGAACTTTAAAAGGAAAGCTATATTTTACTGTAGTATGGGAGCGAATTCTTAGAATTGAACATTCATTTGAAGGGGAAACATATGAAGGAACAATAGTAATCATAAAGATTTCAAAGACACAGCCTTTTACTGTAAGTTTTTATAAAATCTCAGTACAATTCTTTATACATCATTTCTTGTAAAATTTTATTGCGTTTATGTGGTGCATTAATAATAAATAGAACTTCCACTTGACTGTATATTTTACAAGTTGTTATATAATATAAGTAAAATATACCTATTCGTGTCTTAAGACAATATGTAGAACACATTTAAATGAATATCATAAAGAAAGTCAAATTTTTCATGATTGCATATCAGACTTAATATTTTCAGATGTAACATTCTATAATTATTTACTTAAGAAATTTATCCAAAAAATATTTATACAAGTAATGATGATATTATTATGAAAGGACAAATGAAAAAAATCTATTTAAGGACATTTTCGTTCTACTTGACTTTTACCGCTTTCTTCGTATTCTTGACTTGATATCCACATTTGTTGAAAAGTTCCAATTGAAGCCAAAATTGATCCACCGATCCAAGCTCCGAATCGTCGTTCAGCACATCCATTTACACTAATTAGTTTCAACCTCATACTAGATGGAATTCTCATGGAAAGATCTCGGTTTAAACGTTCCGGAAATCCCTAGATAATACAATATATCAAAAATTGCGAAAAATTGTTCGTATGAAATTAACATTGTTTATCAATATATACCTGAATGAATGAATTGCCACCAGTCACAACAACACTACCATAAAGCGCTGGCCTTACATCAACATCACACATGCCTACACTAGTTGTAACAATATGACCTACTCCCAACATAGTATTGCCAACCATACCACCACGCATTTGAACCATGCTGGGATCAAAAAGTGCTTCTGGTATACGAAATCTTTCACTTCCAAAATCCTTGAAATTTTATTATATTGTTATGTTAATACGTAATTAATTTTTAAACAAATACATATTACAATACAAATATACATTTAAACAAATCCTTGATTGTTACCTGATGATATCCAGTAGGAAATTCATACTGAACTGCAGGAATTGTGGAAACAATTTTTTCATCATATGGAGTTTCTGACACTTGCAACACTGTTGCTTGGAAATCCTGAATAAGTTTTTTTACCATATAATTATGCCAAGATTTAGTAACTTCAGGTAGTCCCTTCTTTTTTATCCATCTTGGTTTTTCATGATCTTTAACAACTTCTTTGCTGCCCACCATGTAAGAAGGGGACAAGTCAATGTCATTCTCCTATTATTATTTTGAAAATATAATTATCCATCTTCTATATCATCTTCTATATCATAAAGAAATACTTATAATTATATACGTACCTGAAGAAATTGTCTACACTGCATACTTATATAATCCCCACCAAGTGGTGATTTAACTATTGCCTGTGTTAATACAAAACCATCTTGAACTGGTACAGCAGAAGTATGTGTTGCTCCACTGTCAACTACAATACCAGTTGCTCTGCCATTTGCAAAAGCAGCAAGAACTGCATTCTTGACAAGAAAGTAGGCTGGCACACTGTACTTTTCAAACATTAATTCAGTTAGTTTTTCTCTTTTACTGCGTACATTCCATGGAGATTCAGAAAACAGTACTGGATGATATTCTGCATCCGACTGAATTACTTTGGAATAAGTATAATCTAAAACCTATTGAAACAAATGTATCTACATATACAAAAGCAATATTTATTTTAGAATTCTATATTACCTTCTCAAAATGATCCCAATCTTCGATCATCCCATCTTTCATGTAACTTACTACTTCCATATTCTTTCTTGGAACATGAAGTATAGTAGTATCAATATAATATTTGGTCCCAGATTGTGTAATATTGTTGTCTGGTTTCTTATCATCAATGTCCATTGGTTCTGTTTTCGTTGCCGTACAATTACCATCTTCTCCTATACCTATAACTGCTGGAATTTCAGCTTTTGGAGTGTCCTCTTGAGCATAACCAACTCTTAAAGAATGATGACCCAAGTCAAATACTAAAGCTCCAATTTCATCTCCTCCATAAAGCATGCCACCTGACATCTTGCTGATTTTAAAATATATCTACGATAAAAATAAAATTATTTTAATTAAAGAAATCTCGCTAATGATATTTGAACTTAAATTAATATTTAGAATGTCTATATTAAAACGAAGTTTTTCATCAAAACAAAATAAATTGTAAATTCACTATAGACAAATCGGAACGGTAATAAATTCATGAATTACAAATAAATGAATTAAAAAAGACCTTAACCTTAAAACTCACCGTAACTTTTCTATAAAAATAACTCAATGAAATGACAAAAATACATGCGTTTGACGACTACATGAACGTTTATGTTGTATTTATATATTTATTTTAAATACAACAGAAACATAACCTCAACTTAGAAGGACGCTTGGTATCGCCACCATAAACATGTTTGTCTCTAGAGAAGCACAATTAAATTTTACATATATCCTTGATCTTCTCACATGTACGAATTAAACTGATGTATATTAATAACTTATTACAAAAAACTTAAAAACTGCAAAATCACAATATAATATTATTATTATAACATAACTATATGTAAAAAAAGTATCTACAATATTCTTCCTATTATTTAGTAATTCATTTGCGTGACAAGTAAGGAATTATAACTTATAAATGAAATATATGGCATCTAATAATGATGTGTAGTTTAAAAGAACTCCAATTACATTTTAAACTACTTCTACAGTCAACAAACAGATTTTCAATCCTTGGAAATAATGAAAATTATAACCGGCTCGTGAAGGATTGTTTAAACTTTAAACCACCTGTTAATTCCGTAGGTCTCGATGATGCCGCTGTAGTCGCAAGATGCCCACGAAATGGCGGCGCTAGTCAGAACGTCGGTAGACTCGAGACAATGAGGAGGTGTGTAGTCGTCTTTTAGCCATGTTCTGCCGTTGGTTTTGCGACAGTGTTGTGAAAAAATGAGGTTTCTGGATGCGAGACTCAATCTGTCGTTTGATGCGCGACGGTGAGTCGAAGGAATTGGCATGTGTTCGCTCAATAGGACATTGTATGCTCGTGCGGCAATCGTGTGAAGAAATTACGGTGGGTTATTGTACGCGTCGGAGTCTGACACCCGCTGGCCCAATGGAGCCGCGTATTCTTGCTGTCCCCTTGGCTTTGTTGACATTCGTCGTATCGGGTAAGTTTATCTTATTCTTGCCTCAAAAGCTTGTTATTTCACGTTATTTTCACCTGAAACAACATATTTGTCGTTGAATCGAGATGTTTCGTTATTAGAAAATGATTTAAATCACTGGCACACTCACGCGTATGAAAGGGATAATGCAGTTGTCTATAAAGGATAAGATCGTTGTCACTGATGGATGCACACCTTCTCACTTGTTTCTACAGCTGCAAGTGTAAAGTGATTTTGTTACATGCTATCTGGTGTTTTATCGATGGGTATGGAAACGGGGAAACATCGTTGCGTATCGTTTTACAGTTACTGGTGTTTGCATCCCGCCTCATCTAGTAGTAAGCAAATATTTACGAAAGCATTCTGCGATTTTCTGTTTGCTAATCTCTTAGTGCCAGAGATTACATCTCGGAAAATGCTTGTAACTTGTAACTTGTAACTCAGTAGCTCTTTATTATCAGGCTGCAAAATATACCGATATAATTTTTTAGCATAATAATAAATAAAAATGTGTTAATACACATCTAGAAGTAATCGTTACATGTTGTAAATTAATCAGATTTATAAAATTACTGAATCTTACAAATCTACGTATACACACACGCGCGCGCGCGCGCACGCACGTACAAAATGTAACAAATCTCAAAATGGAAATCATTTACATTTATATACAACATATTTTCATAAAATGTAATTATTATGTAAACAGTTGTTTAATTAAATTATTTATCATTGCAAATTCGAATTGAATAAACTAGAGTTTAAAAATCGGGCTTTGTATATATGACGACCAGAGCGATCGAATGTCTGAATGATATTATTGTACACATGCGTATCGCGCACAACAAATATTTCTGAGGATTGATGATTATTTTGTAAATATTGAAAAAAGATAAAGTCGAGACATTATTTCGAAGCTATTATTGGTGCAGAGAAGGATGTAGTATAAGGGGGTGATTCGGGGTGTATTTCCGATTGCAACGATCGAAGTCACATCCCTTGATGGCATTGTCGTAATAACGAGAACTGTTCCCCTGATAAAAGTAGCAATGAATTGGAAGAGGTTTCCGTCGAAGAAACCATTGTTCCAGCGCATCGTACAGTACAGGCGAAAAATAAAAGTCTCGAACTTCTGTTATTACAGATTCATTAAAGAGGTTGCACCGCTGGGAAGTATTTGCGTTTAAATACTTCAGCAAAGTATTCGAACAATGCGGCAAGCCTCTCCTTACGATTTTATCGTGATGGAAAATGTATATCTGCTGAACATTCAGCGTCGCTATGTTAATCTATCAGCAGAGCTACCCACGCAAAAAATTAAACATCCTATTCTTTCTACCATCGTACCGTGACAAAACACCGCCAGAATTATCGGCCTCATTATTCTTTTTGTTTGCTTCTGATCATTACACACGCTCATCTAGTTAGATATAAAGATCCATTTCCGGCTCGTCATGGTGGAGAAGTATACAAACATTGAAAGGGGTCTTAAAAGGGTGCGTTCCTCAAATAAACCAGTTAACTTTGTACGAGATACAATTATACCGGCGTGCAATAAACTGCAGAACAATTATGGATCCATGGATGCATGGAGAAGTTTATTAACATCCTGAACTCTCTCGTGTTCGAGTTCGACGAACTGAAACTCCATATTAATCGATGCAGTGAAAAGAAGAATTGGAGATCTTTCCTCGTGCTGTCTCATTTTTCTCCTTACAATGTGCAGGTATAACGACTTGTTCATGATGTATGCATGCCTCTCGGTGTATGAAGATCCACTTTAACGTTGGTAGCCCAAATACGGAATGGATCGTGTACAACATACAAGCGTCTAAATGTGTTCCATGTGTATAAAGTGATATTTACAAACGTGTGTACTCGGCGACTGATGTCGTAACAACACCTTAATGGTCAGCGCCCACGCGATGTGTATGCGTGCATATTGATATACAGGGTGATTTACCTCAGAAACTTTTCTTTCACGCCTTACTAAAGAATTTTGAATTAATTTTACTCGATTGCTTTGCTCCGATTGTTCGTTAAAAAGGAGTAACAGCTCTTTAGCTCGAAGGTACGACGCACTTGGTTGGTAATTCTGTTATCGCCATACTTGGAATATATGCACGTGAGTGTGTTATCCTTTCAAGGTGCTAGTACGTCGCTTCCTTCAATCTCATCCCACTTTGATGTTTCATGGAACAGCACCTTGAACGGAAGTAACAGTCACGGTACGAAGAAGATACAAGAGAGAAAGACTGGTAGAAGCCCGGTTCAAGGAATTAACGTGTATCGATCACAAAAATCAATTCTGGATTTCCTTCGCTTATCCATACGTCACCCTAACAACCCTCCGACCTTGCGATTAATTGATTTCCCCGCAGGAGGGTCGCAATATCTTTCCTTCCATCGTTTTCGATTTATCAGCATTTATGAGACACTGTGTAGATTTGTCGTAACGCGATGTGTATATGTACCTTGCCTTCCTTCACGGTCTGTTCGTCACATGTCGAGTACTTTTACCGCGTTTTTCAACATTCTCCCTCCTTCCCTTGCTGACTTCCACAGACGTACGAACTCGCTCCGCAAATTAATCCCCGTTGTGAAAAAATTCCAGGAGATTTATTGACGCGCGGAAATTCGTGCGAGGTGACGAATGCGTCAAAGTATTTGCGAACTGAAAAAATGAGATTAAATTATTTCAGGTAGTTGAATTAAAATGTAGCATGATTATAGATGGCGGGGAGAAAGTAGTTCTATCACAGTCGCGATAATTGTTCTATGAAATCCGATAAAATGGTTCGTGATGCGAAATGATCGTTATATCGACCGTGTGAACCTTATCTTCAGGAATTATCCGATACATTTAACTGGTCCGAGATAACGACATCGAGACTTGTAAGTTTGTATGTGATACTCTCATTTTTCTTCTCTCTCTCTCTCTCTCTCTCTCTCTCAGTTTTTTTTTCGCTCCCGTTATGCTACTAAACAAGATGTATAAACTGATGCCTGATAAACGCCCCGTAGAAAATAAGGTGCAGTGGTTGTTCCTACGACAGATTTACCTCGCTCATGCACTGGCAATGGTTCTCTTGATTCTTGATCTATTTCGGTATGCCGTGCGGTAGGTTGTCGCCCGCGCTCATAAATCAAATAGTCAGACGGCGAACGGTTTATTTTCCTTGAGAATGCACCGTCGTGGCGCTATCGGGCGCCAAATTTCGCACGTTCTTTCCTTTCTCCTCTATTTGTTTTTCTTTTCCCTTTTGCAGCATCCGCTTTTACACTTTCGCGTAATTAATGAAATCAGTTCTGAAATGTGAAAATATCAAAGGCTGAAAAGAACCGCAGGCACTGATTCGATTTTCTTTTTTCTCGACTCTATGAGCTCTATCGACTCTATGGTAACTTTCAAGTCACACACCAATATATCGATATTTTATTAAATAATTGAACTTTTTTCCACAAGATGGCCTATACGTCTTGTATAATGTCTCCTTATTAACCAGTAATATTCTTGATGACAGTTACTTCTATCCTGAAATGTCAATTTTATTATTCGTTATAATCAAATTGTTGAAATTCATTGTTAATTTATAGACTGATATTTGTTGATTTTACGTTACATAATTTTTTTTTTTACAGTCAAGAAAAATATTCGGCTCATAGAAAGTTGAGTTGATTGTAGTATGGCAGTTAAAATTTGAATTATCGTTAGAAATATGGTATTAAAGATGGCATTAAAGTACACACGATATTAAAGAAATGAAGATTAGAATTTATACAAAGGAAAAGGATATCTGTCCATGACTGAAGACGTGTTTGTTTCTTCGCGAAGGTTGCACAGAAAGGTGACAGACCACCGTGAGCGTGAAACTGTAACCCAATAACCGTAGACAGTGTTTCTCAATTTTATGGAAGTATTGATTGAATTAGTTGATGTTGATTGACGTTTATTAGTCATCATTTTACAAGTAATTGTATCTTATTTTTACTTACAGTATAGCTGTATATTTTCACGTTACAATATATCAATATTACACGGATCTGTGTATACTTGATATGTATTATTAACCAAAGATTATACATACTATATGTATTAACTAAAGATTATACATACCATAACCTTTTTTGAAATACCTAATTTTGAAAAATTCTTTCAATTAACTAGTAACAACTATCAATGTCAAAAAATTTTCTTTAATTATTTTCAACAATCGTAAATTTTCCTATTAGTAGCAGAATTATCTGCTACATGTTAATACATGTTAATGGTGACATAATTCTTTGTTATTTATAATTATTTGTAACTGAAATATTTAAATATTGATATTTTTTTATCATTTAATTTTCAGAACTTCCTTTAAGACTTGCTGATCACTTGAATACAAATGTTTTTTTTTTATTTTTGTTGTCAACACTGTCTGTTGTAACTTCACAGAAATCCTAGAAAACAGAAAATTAAAAATTTCCGTAAATAGCGAGAAATATTCGAAGATGAAATTTTTCTTTCCTCGAGATTATTGATAATTGACTTATGAAGAAACGTAAGATCTCTCGGCGTATTAAATAAAATTTCAATAATTTGTTTTTCTAACTTTTTCACTCATCAAGTTTCTCAGTATTTTTTCAACGTTTTTTCACAGATAAGAAAGTTCAGAGATGAGGTGTCTGTACCGGAAGATCATTGTTGGAGAAAATTTTTGCAATTATCTGCATATAATGCGGTTCTTTTTAAGGGAAGATTCTTAAGAATTTCTCGAGAAAATTTTCGCAATTATCTGCATATAATGCGGTTCTTTTTAAGGGAAGATTCTTAAGAATTTCTCGAGAGACTCTAACGAGCTGGCTAGAATTTCTTCGGCCGTGTCGATCTTTAAGGTCTGTTGCGTGACTATAGATAAAGAAACAAAACCGTTTAATACGAAATATGTCCATTGTTTAATAATATTCTCAAGAATTTAAATCTCGTGATAAACCACTAACGAGCTTACACGTCTCTGACTTCGAAGGTTATGAAACAAACAATCATGAGAGTCTCAGAAATTTTTTTGTTCGTTGCTGTTCCTTTAATAGAAATAATTTGCGAGCATATCGATTGTTTGGAATTAAACAATAGGATCTAGCATTCGCTGGAAATCATTCGCATCGCGTCCCATAAAATAGTTCCGTCAGGTTTTTCTTATTTCTTTGTCCTGACAAAGAATTATTCAGAAAAGATGTTGAATCTTCCTGCGCCATAGTTGTATACGTGGTATCGGGCGATCGCAAAGCCCCATAAAAGAAAGAAAAGAAAGGAAAGAAAAGAGAATTTAGGCACTCGGCTCGGGTGTCTCGTTAAAAGGCTAAAGGGTGCCTATGTAGGGTTGCCGACCCTTTACCCAACTCTTCTCTTCAATTACTTCACAACACATTCGTATCTCCCCTCTTATAACCTAAACCTCTAATAAAAACCTGTAATAATCTTTTCAACATCTACCATCATGATATTTAGTCACCTACGCACATATAGGATAATTTGCCAAATACAATTGAAACTGATCACAGCATAACTATAACGTTATTTGGTAATGTAGATGCTTTGAGCTTGAGTTTCTCATAGGTATACTTTAGGTATAATTTAGGAAAAATATATCAATTTACATCTGTAATTTTATTTGATAGAAATTAATATGTTAATCGTTATCATATGCAGTCATCCATATATCTGAATTAATTGATCAAACATTGCTGAGACTCGATGACAATTACAAAATTATATTCTTCTTTGACAGCTAATGCAGGTGGATTGTATTTTACTATTGAACCACAAGATGTGGTGGTTGAACAGGGAGGTCCTGCTAGATTAGATTGTGAAGCAAAAAGTGATTTTGGAAAACCCAGTATACAGTGGAGAACCGATGATGGGCAACCAATTACTTTTATTGGGGATAGTTACCGGTAAGGATTTAAAACGATATTAGTTTCTTCTTGGAAAGAGGTTTTCTATATTTGTTATTTCTTTTTTTTTTTATAGATCTCAATTAGCTAATGGATCTTTGTACATAAATGCTGTTTATGGCAGTAGTTTGGAGTTGACTGGAAGCTATCAATGTTTAGCTTCTGTAGATGATGTTGGAGCAATTGTTTCTCAAACTGCCACAATTAAAATTGCAAGTTAGTATTTAGATCCAATAGAAGTTTTTAAAATTATTTTGAGTCAATATTGTATGAAAATTGTCGTTTTAAAGGTTTGCCAGGATTTGAAAGAGAACCTCAAGATACTATGATATATCCAGGACAAATTGCATATTTAAGTTGTACACTTCTTACGTCTTCTAATTCACTAAATATACAATGGCTAAAAGATGAACATCCATTGTTACTTGACGACAGTCGAATGACAATTTTGCCATCAGGTGCATTAGAAATTGATGATGTTAATATACAAGATATTGGATCATACAGGTGTAATGCTAGTAGTTACGGACAATATAGACTCAGTAATAAGGCACAATTAGGATTATTAACAAGTGATATTGGTTAGTATAAATCTTCACATATGATTTTTATATACCAGCAGACATTAATTTTTATCTGATGCTATAGACCAAGAAAGTACACCACCAGTCTTTATTGCTAAGCCATTACAACAAGTGACTATTGAAGAATCAACAGTCACGCTTGAATGTGCTGCCAATGGTTATCCAAAGCCAAGTATTCTTTGGTTAAAAGATGGTGTTGCCATTGATTTAGCATCTTATCAATCTAGGTATGTAGTCAAAATACACATAAAAAAGTTAGATGTTTAATTTTTTTGTTTTAATTATTTAGATACAGCAGAATTGCTGCATCCAGTCTTGTGATCAATAATGTTCAAGAAATAGATGATGGTTCTTATCAATGCCGTGCAGAAAATGAAGTCGAGACATTAGATGCAGCTGCTGATTTAATTGTACAAGGTATTTTAGTTTTTTCTATTGGTATTTTCGTTCGTTCATTTTATTTCACACTATTTAATGGTGTAATCATTTATTCAGTTCCACCAAGATTCGTTAAAAAACCAGAAGACAAGGTAGCCAGTGAAAATCAAGATTTAGAATTTGAATGTGAAATTTATGGAAAACCAGAACCAAAAATTACATGGCTCAAAAACGGAGAACGTATTACCTTGAGCGCATATTGGCAAATTGTTAATGGGTAAGTCTATAAGATTTCATTGATTATGATGTAAAATAATTTATGAAATGTAATAAATAAATGTCTTTTATGGCATTATTTTCAGTTATAATCTTAGAATTAATGGCTTATTACCGATAGACGCTGGAATCTTCCAATGTATAGGAACGAATTCTGCCGGAAGTATACAAGCTGCAGCGCGTTTAACAATTAATCAGCCTAGTGAGTGCTACAATTAAAATTATCTGCATTCAATTTTTTTATATGTAGATTCCTTAATTTTTCTGTAGTAAAATTTATTTTTTGTGTTTATTTAATATATTTATTAATTTGTAAATTTTTTATTTATTAATTTAAAAGTATAACATACATTATTTTTAATTTCCAATTTTTTTTACAATAATTTTAATTTAATGTTTATATTTTTTTCCATTTGTGTTCCTCCTTTTTTAACTGTATTGCATGCTAACATATATATTCAGAAAAGACAAATCCTCATAAATCAACTACCCCAAAGACAGTTCCTAAAAAGAAATTATTATTGCATCGGCAATTATATAATAAAACGTGGCAGCACCCAAGCACCCTTTTAGGTCATACAATGTCTGCGTTTACGCCCAATCCACCACTTTCCATTGGTCCGTCTGATGATCCTGCAGATCTTCCTGGATCTGTTAGATTTCCTAATTCCCTTTACGACCCAAAATCCCATTTTGTAGATGACACAGACAGCTTGGAGTCAATAGAAGGAAGTGTCCCGTCAGCACCGAGGAATTTAAGTCTCGTCATTGTCACTGCTAGATTCGTAACTTTACGATGGCAAGAACCTGAGAATACAAATGGAGAAATTCTAAATTATTATATATATTATAAACAAGAAGGTGTTCAAAGGTGACGATTAGTTCCTTGATAAATGCGCTCATGATTAGTTCAATAGCATTTTGTATACATACAATAGTAAAATCTTACAGAGAACGAGTTATTCATACACAACAAAAATTAGAAGCAGTAATACGAGGTTTACAACCAAGTATGACGTATCAATTTCGTGTGGTCGCCTTGAATGAAAGGGGGATGTCTGGAAAGTCTAGTGAAATATTACAAGTTACCACACTTACTGAGGTCCGTTTATAACTTCAAACATGTCCAGTAATTAATTAAACAAATTATTTCATGATCCAAGTATTGTAAATATTTTTGTTTATTAATAATTATTGCAATAGGCCAATGTCCCTGGATCTCCATTGAATTTAGAGGGACATGCTACAAGCAGTGCGAGCATTGCGTTATCCTGGGAAAAACCACAAGTAGTTAATGGCAGAATTTCTAAATACATAATTACATATGTAGAGGTATATCATTTTTAATAAAATATGTTAACGTTTATCTAATGTACTTTGCATGTAAAATTTTGAATATTTTATTTAAAGGGTGACAATGAGGAAATGACTAGTGAAACTACTAGTACGATGCACGAATTAGTAGATCTCGTGCCTTATACAGAATATAGTATTAAAGTTCAGGCTGTAAACGAGAACGGTCCTGGTGTGTTCAGTAGAGATATTGTAGTCCGGACTTATAGTGCACAACCTACTCAACCACCACACAATGTTACAGTAGAACCAGTTAGTCCTACAGTACGTATTATATATAGAGTTCCGTAGACTGAATCATTGAAAAATTTTTGAATATCATCGCATAATTTTGGTGTTTTTAAAATTGTTTGGTATTTTTATTTTTAGAGTATTATAATAAGATGGGAACCGCCACTCGAAGGACAAAATGGAATTATTACTGGTTATAAAATTCGTTATCGTCGTTATGATCGTAGTTCGCAGCCGGTAACTATAACAACTGAAGGAAATCAACGTTCACGAGTACTCACAGGACTTGAAAAGCACGTTATTTATCAAGTTCGCATATGTGCCTTAAACGTTAATGGAACAGGACCTAGTTCAGAATGGATACAAATAGAAACATAT